AGTTGACATAGGAAATTGCCATGTTGTGGGTGCAAATAGGTCGCATTCCGACAAATATCTGATGAGAAAGCAGGTAAGTGGTTGCCAGGAGCTGGGGGGCAGGGAGGGGTGTCTTTTGGGGTGACGGGAATGTTCCGGAACCAGATCGTGGTGACAGCTGCACCCCACTGGGAATGTACTAAATGCCATTAATGGTGACTTTTTGCGTGACTTGTATTTTACAATTTTTTTAAATAATAAACAATAAGCCATTATACCTCCTCACCCCACAATGGGATGAAGTTTGGCAATTTCACAGGGTTCACCCGAACATCATTTTGTAGATTCACTTATTTTCTTTAAAGATTCTATTTTTTAAGTAATTTCTATCCCCAACCTGGGGCTCGAACCCGCAGGGTGAATGGCTATTTGACCCAAGGGATCTTACAGTGTTAGTCACAGACTATTTGAATCACAGGAGTGTAGAATGTCACCCTAGAACCTGGGCCCGTTAGACACATAGAGCTCCAGAAGTACAGAGCCTGGGTGGCTCAGTCGGGTAAGTGTCCGACTCTTGATTTCGGCTCAGGTCACGACCCCACGGTTCACCGGATCGAGCCCCGAGTTTGCGGTCAGCACAGAGCCTGCTCGGAATTCTCTCTCCCCCTCTCTCTCCGCCCCTCCCCCGCTCACACACAAGCGCACGCGCGCTCTCTCTCTCTGTCTCTCTCTCTCAAAACACATAAACAAACGTTTAAAAGTATAAATAACACCCAAATTAATTGTATCTGATTCTCTCTGCTTCGCTTTGCTTGCCTCTTGCCCGGCCGCTAGAAAACGGACGATTTCATGCATGGCTCGCATTGTGTTCCTATGAGACCGTGCTGATCTGGAACGGTACCTACCTGGGGGTTAGAGGTGTGGTGTTCGGGGAGGTCACACAGCACAGGTGCAGGGAGGAGGCTTTGCCCCGGGGGCCTGGGGGAGCCAGGTCTGAGGAATAGGTGGGTGGGTGTCGGGGCACTTGGTGGCGGTGGTAGGCAGGGGGCCGGGGGACGGACACAGCCAGCTCAGCCAAACCCAATCATCCACTTTCTTTCTCCCCCACTTCCTCCTCAGAACTTGTTGAGCCAGCAGATCCCCCCAAACCCCAGATGTGGCAACGGCCGGGCACTTCAGCCCACTTCCTTCTCCCCGGGCGGGGCGGCTCACCACCTCAGAGAAGCCACCTGGATCCCACGCGTTGACCTCCGAGTGTTTCCAGAAGACCATTGCGGGGCGCCAGCTCTTGGGACAACGTCTCCCTCCCAGATCAGAGTGAGGGAAAGACCTCGCCGTCTGCAGCCGACTCCCCACCCCCGGGAAAGCTGGCCGTGCTCATGATCCGAGCCCAAATCCAGAGTCCGGTGCTCAATCGACCGAACCACCCAGGTGCCGAACGGGACGATCTTTTAAAAACAGGCCGGTTGGGGCGCCTGGGTGGCTCCGAGGGTTAAGCATCTGACTTCGGCTCAGGTCATGATCTCATGGTCCGTGAGTTTGAGCCCCGCGTCGGGCTCTGTGCTGACAGCTCAGAGCCTGGAACCTGCTTCAGATTCTGTGTCTCCCCTCTGTCTGCCCCTCCGAGGCTTGCACTCTGCCTCTCGTATTGTCTCAAGGATAAATAAACATTTTTAAAAAATTAATAAAAGGAAATATGTTGGGAGCGCCTGGGTGGCTCAGTGAGTTGAGTGTCCGACTCTTGATTTGGATTCGGGTCGTGATCCCAGAGTCGTGGGATTAAGCCCCACGTGAGGCTCCACACTGAGCGTGCAACCTGCTTAAGATTCTCTCTCTCTCTCTCTCTCTCTCTCCCTGCCCCTCCTCTACTCTTGCTCGTTCTGTCTCTCAAATTAAACACACAGTTACAGGAGGGAAATGGGGAAAAAAATTATAAAAGCAATATCTTGGATATATTGTTAGGCGAAATATAGTATTGACTGCATGAATATATTTTATATATGAAATATCATTGTATATAACAATGTAATAAATATATTGATAGTATTACTATCACTATAATACATGGATGTCAATTATATACATTCATATAATGTTAATATGTGTTATATAGGTTCTACATTATGTAACGTAGTTATACATTTTGATTTTATTTGATTATAAATGTAATTATTAATAGGGGCACCTGGCTGTCTCAGTCAGGATCTCAGAGTTGTGAGCTCAAGCCCCACGCTGGGTGTAGAGATTGCTTAAAAATAAAATCTTTGGGGCGTCTGGGTGGCTCAGTCGGTTAGCATCGGGCTCTTGACTTCCGCTACGGTCATGATCTCATGGGTTCATGAGTTCGAGCTGACAGCACAGAGTCTGCTTGGGCATCTCTCTCTCTCTCCCTCTCTCTGCCCCTCCCCTCAAAAATAAATAAATAAACATTAAAATAAATAAATAAAATAAAATCTTTGAAATATATATATATACACACAATTACTATATAACATATTGATATTCATATAATACGTAATTGTATAATGTTCATGAATATATTATATTCATCATTACTATGCTACTCATGTCGTTGTTAATATAATTATAAAATATATTACTATTATTGCATCCATTTCTTCTTTATTTTTTAAGTGTATGTATTTATTTATGTAAGTTCTACCCCCAACATGGGGTGCAAATTCACGACTCTGAGATCAAGAGCCACACACCCTCCCAGCTGAGCCAGCCAGGTGACCCCGTTTCTTCTCAATTTTTTAGTGTGGCAACCAGAAAACTGGAAACTACCTGTGAGATTCACAGCATGTTTCTGTTGAATGACGCTGGTCTATACGATATTTCTAGCCCATCTGCACACATGCACGCACACAAAACACTAAACAGAACTGTTTTGCAGTCAATTATAAGTAGCACAGCATTTCAACATTTATAGTTTTTTATTTTCATTATTCAAAGAAAAATTTTTTTAATGTTTATTTTTTAGAGAGAGAAAGACAGAGCGTGAGCCGGGGAGGGGCACAGAGAGAGGGAGGCACAGACTCCGAAGCAGGTTCCAGGCTCCCAGCTGTCAGCACAGAGCCCGACGCGGGGCTTGAACTCACGGACCGCGAGATCATGACCTGAGCCGAAGTCCGCCACTTAACTCACTGAGCCACCCAGGCGCCCCTATGTTCATCATTCAAGCGCAGCAGACTAGTTTTTTCAAAAGTCAAAAGGTTACACGCTAAATGAGTCCATTGACATAACGTTCCTGGAAAGGACCGAATTGAAGATGAGAGTGAAACCGTGGTGGCCAGGGGCCCCAGACCAGGCTGGGAGGGTGGAGGGCAGTCGGTGGGGGGTGGGGGCTGCAAAAGGGCATCATGAGGGATCCAGGTGGTGACGAAAATATCCTGCACCTCGAGTATATCGGTGTCCACATCCTGGTCGTGATCTTGTCATTTTGCAAGGTGTTCCCATAGCGAAATAGGTCAAGGGCACAGAAGATCCCTCTGTATTATCACTCACAGCCAGCTACGCGTGAGTCCGCAGTGATAACCAAAATTTAAAGTTTCTTGTTTTTTTTTTCTTTTATTTATTTTGAGAAATGCAAACAAAACAGCAGTTTACAAAGTAAAACGTCAAGTTCCCGCGTGACCTCCTTCCCCCCTGGAGGTGCCCAACCAATGTTTCTTAACCTCCCCTTACAGCAAGCTTCCCTCACACTTGCTTCTGACCGGGACCATCTAACCTCTTTTTTACTTAAGGCATTTTTTTTTTAAACCCCAATTGAGTAACATTTTAACCTACTGTACTTTATAATTTTTTTTATTTTTTTTAACGTTTATTTATTTTTGAGACAGAGAGAGACAGAGCATGAACGGGGGAGGGTCAGAGAGAGGGAGACACAGAATCCGAAACAGGCTCCAGGCTCTGAGCTGTCAGCACAGAGCCCGACGCAGGGCTCGAACTCACATATCGCGAGACCGTGACCTGAGCTGAAGTCGGCCGCTCAACCGACTGAGCCACCCAGGCCCGGGGGGGGGGAAGAGCGTGAGCAGGGGAGGGGCAGGGAGAGAGGGAGACACCGAATCCGAAGCAGGCTCCAGGCTCCGCGGAGCTGTCCGCCCAGAGCCCGACTCGGGGCTCGAACTCACGAACCACGAGATTATGACCTGAGCCGGAAGTCAGCGCTCAACCCCAGGCCGCTCAGGCGCCCCTAGATCCACCCACTTAGAAAAGCTTCGCCCGCGTATCAACGAGCAAAAATGCCTTTTGAGACGCTTGTTACATTTTGTTCCAGCTCTCCAGTGATAAAAATACCTCACTATTTTTTATAAGTTTTTTTTCATGTTTATTTATTTTTGAGAGAGAGAGAGAGACACACACACAGAGCATGAGCAGGTAGAGGGGCAGAGAGAGAGAAAAGGCCTCCAGGCTCCCAGCCGTCAACACGGAGCCCGACGTGGGGCTCGAACTCACGAACCGGGAGCTCGTGAACCTGAGCCGAAGTCGGACGCTCAAGCGACTGAGCCGCGCAGGCGCCCTTCACTCTTCTGCAAAGGTTACGACCTTCCCATCTGTCGTCTGTGTAGCGAATGTGTCCTAGTCACAAGCTGCACGCGCACGCGCACGCGCAGACAGAGAGCTGTTTGGCGGGGGGAGGGGGGCAGGGTTGCTCCCGGTACTTCGGTTTCACCAAGGTCACGGTTACCATGAGCCCAGAGAAACCGCACGGGTGGGAAGGTGGGGGCGCCGAGCAGAGGGCGGCCGGGAGCGCGCCCCTCACACCGCCTGGCTCTTCTGGGCTGGGGTGTCCGCCGTGGAGAGGGTGTAGGACTTGCTGTCCCGGGACACGGACTCCTCGGTCAACACGTTCCGGAGCCTGGCGGGGAGGGACTTGAGGAAGCGGGCGTGGAAGCCCCGAGCCGCCGCCACGTAGATGACGGGATTTATGCAGCAGTTGACGTAAGCGAAGGCGACGCACAGGGCGTCCAGAGCCGACACGCTCTTGAAGATTCTCGAGCGCGGGTCGGACAGGGCCAGCATCATCCCCGTCACCTGGTAGGGCAGCCAGAACACAAAGAAGCTGGTCACCACCGCCGCCACCACCTTGACCGTCTTGGCGGAGCGCGTGGCGCTGCGGCTCCACGTCCGAATCAGGAGGAACGTGTAACAGATTCCGAGCGTGACCAGCGGCCACAGGAAGCCCACCACCAGCCGCAGGATGGCCACGACCCTCTCGGTGACGAAACCGTCTCTCCCGTAGCTCACGCCGCACTCCATCTTGAACGGAAAGGCCTCCACGCGCACCACGCGATACATGAAGGACGGGATGGTCAGCAACAGGGCCAAGCCCCAGGCCACGCCGCAGGCCGCCCAGGCCAAGCGGGCCTCTCGGTAGTTCTGGCACCAGACGGGGTTAAACACCAGCAGGAAGCGGTCGGCGCTGATGGTGGCCAGGAGCAAGATGCTGGCGTACATGTTGAGCAGGATGAGGGAGGGCAGGACGCGGCAGGCCACCTTGCCATAGGGCCAGTGGCCGTGCTGGACGATGGATGTGAACAAGATGGGCAGCGCCAGGCAGGAGAGGAGGTCGGCCACCGCCAGGTTGAGAAACCAGATGGCGTTGATGTTTCGCCGGACCTCGAAGCCCGTCACCCACACCACCAGGCTGTTGCCGGGGACGCCCACCAGGAAGACCACCGCTAAGATTACCAGGGCAGTCACATTCAGGGCAGACAGGGCGGGGGTTCTAGAAGACTTGTCCACTGGCATGTACGGGTCCACCGTCCAGCCATAATCAGCATAGTCAGGGGTGCTGTAATTCAGAGAGTCCTGGGTAGGATGAGAGAGGCAAGAAGGGCCCATCAGAGCTATGCGGCCAGGAGCCCATCACACCTCTTCTTGGAGCCCCAGGTTTCTCCCCAGGGAAACGGGGATGCGGAGGGCCAGACCCAGCTACGGGGTTACACCTGCCGCCCTGCCACCTCCTGCTAAAATCCTTGGACATCCCCAGGATCCGGCAACCGAGCGGGCAAAACCTAGTCCTGCTGCCAACATTGTGGTCACTGTCCGTTCTGACGGGACTGTACCCCATGACACACAGCTTGTTCGCTCTTTCTTGAAATTCTTTTTTATTATTTTTTT